CATAGTTCCATTGTAAAATAGCCACATAGGACTTTTTGTGAGGTGGAGAAACACCACAAATGATCAGGGCTGAAACATCATATTCGACAATATGAATTTAATTCTAACAAAGCAGAACGTGAAATCCACGCCTAGTCCTTATGTGTACTGGACATGTTATCTTTAGGTATCACTGTGATCATTAGCAATGGCCTTTGAGCCCTGTGTATAACCCTTAAACCTATAAGCCCTTAAAGAAGTTTTATGCTTTTATCTATAGGTTTAAAGTATATGTACACCCAATGACTAAATCTCATAAGCTTTAACATGTTGCTGTAATTTTGAAAGTTATTGTCACACACTGTGACAACACTATGGGGGTTATTTATGAAGGAGCCGAAGGATCCAGCCATAGCTTCGACTGATCCTTCGTCTTTCTGTTCGGCCACCGGAGCCCTTCGGTTCAGTCGAATCGAAGGGCTGCTGTACAGGCTATTCACAATAGTCCATACAGCAGCCGAAGGAGGCCGAGTGGCTCAGCTTAGCGGAAGGCATATGCTTCGACTCGACTGTTATTCATTGGCCGGAGCCGGCCAATAGGAAACAGTTGGGCGGGGCTAGCTGTCACTGCTAGCTCTGCCCAATTGTTTTTCTTTTTCTTATTTACAATATCTTTATTTTTTACTTTTCCTATTTTTGATCATTTTCAAAAATGATTTTCAATCTTTTTTTTTATTTTACACTGCTTTCACTTATTTTCTATTCTGCTTGGTACCTCGGAGATAACGAGCGGAATAGCTGAGACGAATGTGGCATTCGGCGATTCACTCACTGCTAGAAAACAGCAGCGAGTGAGCTGCCGGAGCTTCGGCTCAGCCGATCCAGATGTTGGATCGGCTGAGTCGAAGTCCTTCTGCACTGCACTGACCGAAGGCAGCCGATGTATGGCTGATTTTAGCCGATGTACGATGCTGAGAACACCGCAGCCGGGACAGATGCCGACAATACTGTCGGGATCCACCCAGCTAGCTGATTGACAGCGGGCTCTGCCGCCCTATCTGGAGGCAAAGCCAGCAATGCCCGCCCCCAGTCAGCGCTGGAGGATCAGAGAGGGGAGGGGGGAATCCCTGCGGGGAGCAGTGACTCACAGTCACCGCTCTCTGCAGGGAGATGATCGGGAAGTTAGCGAGTGGCAGTATGTTTTCACTCACTTGCCGATCAAAAGAGTCGACGTGTTTCAGTGTCACACGTGGACTCTAACTATGGGGATGAGTGTAATTCACTCACCCCATAGTTCTCCTTTAAAAGTCAGAATGCATGACACAGATTTTCCTGTTACAACCTCACCCTGAAAAACAACCCCTGGAATTCAGTGTGTGATAGTAAGTCATAAAGTGTCTCTTAGATACTCTTTAGAGATTTGCCCACGACAGTGTGACAAATGGTGGAACTTGTGACTGATTCATGTACGTGTTGGTAAGGTGTATCTGTATCTGTCGCAACTCTGACTTGCATCATCTCTCCTGCGAAGTGGCAAGGTCTTACAGGCTGAGAGAGTGATGGAAAAGTATCCGATATCCGTTACAGAGGAACATAAAGACCAATTTTGTTGCAGAATTTTCTTAAATATGCTATTTGAAAATACACAAGTAACGCAATTAATAATTTACTCCAATGGAAGAGGTCTTTTTTACCTCTACTTTCCTTATCACTGATGTGGTGGTATTTCTATTGGGATTTGTCACAACAATAGTGTCATGCAGTAAAAGTAAGCAACTATGAACTATGTGAATTTTTTACACACTTTGATACAAACAATGAAAATGTTGCAGGGTTTTCATGAATCTGACCCAAGGCTTCCATGTTTATCCACACCACAGGAAATATATTGCATATGCCTTATTAAATATCTGTTTTTTTAACTCCTGCGTAATGGTAGGCAGGACATCTGCAGCTCAGAATGGCTTATATCATGGACATTCTTTAATGGTTTGTGATCTCTCACAGTTCTCCAGTGAATCACTGGGGTGTGATAACCTTTATGGCTTTATAACATGTAATTCTGCTGTGAGCAATGCGGAGACAGAGGGTATCCATCACAATAACAAATAATTCATGTTACGTCTTGCAGCTCCATGCAGTTAGTAACATATATTTTATAAAGTGGTATTACATTTGTTGTGTGGCAATGCTTCACTCCTCCTAAAAATTAAAAGCAATTGTCTCATGAATACCCACATGCCTTTGGTATGTCATAGAGTAAAACCCCTTTGAGGGCTTGTTCACACCATGTCTGGATGATGTTGAGACCAAAACAGTTTGTTAACAAAAAAAAAAGACAAAAAAGCATCCCAATGTATCCTTATGGTATGCCTGGGCTGTGTTTACGCCAGCGCAGTCTGTTCCGGAACAAGACAAAAATAAATACTGCTTGTCTCATTTTCTCTGGTCTGGAATGCACTGGAACGCATCAAAACCGCATACAAACGCACTGGAACGCATTGCACAGCACTTGAGCTTAAAATAAAAACCGCTCCAGAACGCGGCAAAATTGTGGTAAAAATGCAGCAAAAACGCAACAAAATGCAATGCACCGCGTTCCAGATCTGGTCCGCAAAACCGGGTTTACCTGGCTTCAAATGGGAATCTCGATCGTGTTCACCTGTCGGTTTTTAAGGTGGATTTGATTGGAAACCCAATGTAAAGGTGCCCATACACCTTACGACCATCGCAAGGTGTCTTGCGATGGTCGTAAGCTCATTGAAAGCTCGTACGATCTGCCCATCTTGGACGGACAGATTCTACTTGCGATCATCGAAAGCCCGCCCCGCTGTAACCCGCCGCGAATCGTACGATTCTCGGCGGGTTTTCAAGCCTGCTTGTTCGACAGAAGAAGTGCGGCCGTACAGTAGAAACGGTCGCACGCCTTCCATACACTGTACGATTCTCGTACGATCGCGGGATTTCCCGCGATTCTCGTACGAGAATCATACAGTGTATGGGCACCTTTACTCTATGGGCATTCGGATCTAACAGACGTGCGCACATTTGCGTCCAATTACCCCTGACTCTATCCAGGTCCTGAAAACCAAATGGAACAGAGTTCTGTTTTGGTGGACCTGATCATGGTGGATCTGATGTAAACGGACTCATGTACGTTTACTTCCAACTCCCCTTAGACCTGACATGGGTCTGATAAGTTCAGTTTTTTCTTCCACTGCAAGATGGTGGGAAAAACTGGATGGACACGGGCAGGGCCGGTGCTGCCACTAGCAAACTAGGCAGCCGTCTAGGGCGCACTGCTGCCTAGGGGGCAGCCTTGACCATTCACCCCCCATGGCGCCCCCATCTATTTCAAATTGCAAAAGCCAATAGCAGGCTGGCTATTGCAACTGCCCACTGAGCAGAGGAGCATAACTGAGAGACAACTTTCTCTCTCAGGTTCGCTCCTCTGCTCAGTGGGTGGGGCTTCAATAGCCAGTCTGCTATTGGCTATTTCAAATTAAATTACATCCACCTGTTGCCTGCAGAAGCTAACCCGCAGGAGAATGGGGCTGCGCGGGGATTGGGGGTTGCGCCACGGGAGGGGAGGTGCAAGTAGCTTATCTTGCCTAGGGCGCAAAATAGTCTAGTACCGGCCCTGGACACGGGTGATATGTGCAAAGATCCCTTGGTGATCAGAACTGACAAGCACCCTGTGTGAAAGGGGCCTAAAGCAAAGAAAGTATGGCAAGATACACATTTTACAAAGCTAGTCAAAAATGGCCTACACAAATTTGTTGGTACCCCTTGAAATGAATATGAATAATTGTATCATAGTGATATTTTAAACAAAGTTTTTTGTTTTTAAAAAAAGTTTTCTGGGATTAGTATCACACGGCTTCAATTCAGTCAATCAGTCAGAGGGCAAGGTGGGCATTTCCCAGATTAGTCCACAAATGTAAAGTGCGCTTATACCTTAAGGTTTGCACTTACATACTGTATGTACATGCAGCAGCCATATTTGCTCATGCATTAAAATGTATGTAAACCCTTGCAAGGAACTTCTTATATTGGCTCCTTTTTGGTCTGTTAAATATACCATTGGAAGTGTTTTGTAATATCTGTTCGATAATCACATGTGCACTGTGCTTCTGCAGTGAAGTCCCAAGCAGTATGATCAGCCTTGCCCGGCTTACCTATCTGGATCACAGGACTCCTCCCCCATGTTATGGAGATGAAAAAAGAGGGAGGTATTCCCAACAAACTCCTGTCCTAGGATGACTATGCTGCTTTTCCATAGATACAGTACTGTGATTGAATGTTGTCACTCTAAAGGTGCCCATACACTGCACGATTCTCGTACGAGAATCGCGGGAAATCCCGCGATCGTACGAGGATCGTGCAGTGTATGGAAAGCGTGCAACCGTTTCTGCTGTACGGTCGCACGTCTTCCGTCGAACAAGCAGGCTGGAAAACCCACCGGGAGCCGTACGATTCTGGGCGAGTTAGTGGCCTGCTTGTTCGACAACTACCGAACGGTGCCAGTGTGCGCACGCGTTTGCAGTCATCGGAAGCCCGCCACTCATTGCAGTCATCGCAAGCTCGCCCGTCATGGGGGCGGGCTTGCGATGATCGCAAGTACGATCTGCCTGTCCAAGATGGGCAGATCGTATGTTTTTTTAAGTACTTTACAACCCTCGCAAGACTTTTGTAAAGTGTATGGGCACCTTTAGACAGGAAGTGTTTTGCTGGCAGGATCACAGGGAGAAAATAAAGTCTATAAAAAGGAAAACCAATGTAGCCACCACTGCAATATATTACATTTTTGCCCTTGGGGTTATATACACCTTCAACGCGTTATGCTTTCAGATGCAGTAAAAGGGATTTTAACTGGCATAGCAGTTACTGGGATAAAACGTAAGAGGCCTGGATTGTGACCCCAGCTGCTGCAACAGTAATTGACTTCACCTGCTGACCCCCATTCCTACACATGACCTACTCATTGCTACTGTTCTGTCATCTTCCCTGCAGTTTCCATTCAGTAATACAAAGACCCCTATGCTGTGAGCGATGCTGGCTGAATGACTGGCCACCCTGAAGAGAAGAGGAGAGTTGCAGTCCTGAGGTAAATACAGGTGGTGTGATTATAGCTGATGGAGCTTTGTGTGCAGATTTCAAAAGGGCAAAGTGTTCCCAAAACTTGCAGCAGAACATCTCCGGGCCTGGGGGCACAAAGGGAACAGTAAAGTTATCGACACAGGCCTGGATTTTCCTCACTGGAGCCTGTAGACCTGCAGCCTTTGGCACCCAGAGCAACATTCCCGCCCTGCTAGGATCATTTTATTTAAGAAATACAATAAAATATTTTAGAATATCGTGACATTCTGTACATAAGCTTACATAAGATTACTATTTATACAAATGATGGGAAAAAATGGCCAATAAGAGTGAAAAGTCACCTCTTTATGTCTGCTGCCTATAGACACAGGCCTACTGTGCCAAATTGTAAATGCAGGCCTGCATAGACATGAGATAACAGTCACTTGACCATATACGATTACATGAGGACTGCCACTGTCATTTACGTAAATGGGCAAAGCGGTGGCATCTGAACAATTACTTGCGGTTCGGAATAGATTATTGTCCAGCAAGATAGATGCATTCAGAAACAATCATGTATCCTGCACCGCAGATAATCATACCATATATGATTACATGAGGACTGCCATTGTCATTAACGTGAATGAGCACAGCGGCGGCATCTGAACAATTGGGGTTCAGGATAGATTATTGTCCCGCAAGATCCCTGAGCGTAGCATAAGCCCCCATGTGAATGCAGCCTTTGATTATCGCAAGTGACGCTTACATCATCATGCAATTGATGCATGGCCACGCCTATGCTCACACACTACAGAAAATAGACTTTGCTTATGCTAGCCAACCAAAAGAAGCAACATTTGTTTTACACAACCATCTAACAGATGGCACGGTAAGCTGCTTTTGTAACTATTAATATATAAAATATCAGTTTGTAAAGCCAAAGAAATCAATGAAACTACTGCTCATGACATGACTATCACATTTCTGTTCTCACCCACTTTCAGTTGGCTGCGTTAGTAGACATGAAAGAGTTAAATGAATATGGTTCACCATTCAGATATGATTTCATATATCTAAGCAGTTTTTCATCACTTGGTGTGAATTAGAATTTTTATTCTCCGCTGTGAATTACAGTTCAATTCTCTCCCGTTGAACCATACAGCTCCCATTAACTTCAGGAAACACCTGGCGCCCTTGTTACTGTAGCTTAAGTGGCTGGTGGATTTCCGCCAGGTCTAAATTTAAAAAGAGCTATGTAACCTGTAAGCCAGTAACACATTATGATAGGTCATTGGACAACCCCTGTTGTGAAGGGACAAGCCCCCCCCCCATTGACTGCTCAAGCTCCCTGGCCCATAGCCTCATTTGTTACTATGATTGACAGGTGAGGAAGGAGGTAACTGTTAGTGCAGCTGGGTGGGAGATGGGTATAGTTAATGTGGATATAAAGTGAATAGAGGCAGCAGCCAGTTTAATCATATGCTGTGTCTGCTAAACAGCTAGGGGTGCCAGACTTGCATCTGGAGCCTACCATTAATCATAATGTAGATTTAGAGAAAATTATATTCTGTAGAGGTATAAAGGTTGCCACTGTCTCTACAGTTTATGTAAACCCAAAATCTATTTTCAAGTATGTTTGACATTGTGTCGCATTGTATACAGTTTTCATAAGTATTTTTTGTGTGTGAATCTCTTGCAAAGCCTGGAGATCCTGGCAGTAACAGTGCTTCCTATTGTAGGCTGACAACGCTAAAGGTGCCCATACACCTGCCGATTATCGTACGCTAATCTCGGGAAATCCCGCGATTGTACGATAATCGGCAGGTGTATGGAAGTTTCTACTGTAAGGTCGCACGTCTTTTGTCTTACGAGCAGGCCCGAAAACCCGCCGAGAATCATACGATTGTCGGCGGGTTTGTGGCCTGCTCGTAAGACAAATGCCGCAAGGGCCGGTGTGCGCAAGCGCACACTGCCCGTTCAGCATTGCAGTCATCGGAAGCCCGCCCCTCAGCAGGGTGGGCTTGCGATGATCGCAAGTACGATCTGCCTGTCCAAGATGGGCAGATCGTACGTTTTTTTAATTACCTGACAACCATCGCAAGACAAAAGTCTTTGCGATGGTTGTAAGGTGTATGGCCAGCTATAAGGTCCCCACACACCTTACGAAAATCGTACGATAATCGCGGGAAATCCCGCGATCGTACGATTATCGTAAGGTGTGTGGAAGCCATGCGACCTCTACTACTGTAAGGTCGCACGACTTTGAACTTACGGACATGTTCGAAAACCCGCCGAGCATCGTACGACGTTTGGCGGGTTTGTGGCTTGTCCGTACGATAACGACAAAAGTCTTGCGATGGTTGTAAGGTGTGTGCCCAGCCTTAAGGTGCCCATACACCTTACGATTATCGGACGATAATCGTATGCAATCGACTTTTCTTCCGATAATCGTATGTGTGCATTGCAGTGTCCGACCGACATTACTGTACAATCGTACGACTTTTGACGGTCAAGCATGTTTGAAAACTTTGCTAGATCGTACGATTGCCGTAAGGTTGCTGGCGTTTCCGTCCGTCAAAAGTCGTACGATGTACACTGCGCTTGCGCTAACGAAAATACGGCAAATCAATTACCGCATTTCGTCCCAGGTGCTTTTGGTTAATTACGGCTAAATGATTCTTGCGATCATCGGGGCAGGATGGGGCTGCCGTACGAAAATCGTACGACTATTCGATCATCGGACGAAAAGTTTCGTCCGATAATCGTAAGGTGTATGGGCACCTTTAGCCACTGCCTGCTAATTAGGAGCAGCATTGTCAGCCTGCTGTGCAAGCAACTTCAGTTGGTCTATCAAATCGGATGCACAAAAATAATGACTGATGTATGAAATCTGTATACACAGAGGGATGATGCCAACATTCTGAAAAATAGGTTTAGGGTTTATGTACACTTTAAAGGAAACCTTTGCTGGAAGACACCTGTAGGCTGACATTGCTGACCTCCTTATAAAAATTGCTAGTTAACTGGGTTTAATTGTGACACTTGACCACATTCAGAGCAAGTGACTTGGAACAAACATGAAGGAAATAAAGTCAACTCTGTGTTAATATGAGTTGCAATTACATTCTTAGTATCTACCCCCCTGGATGTTAATGCCCAAAACTGTTATCACCCATGAAATGCTGCACATTAATGCGCACGTGGTATTCAAATGCAACAGAGATGTCTGAATGGGTGCCATTAGCACTGCCTGCCACTCTGAATCCTGACTATCTCACTTTTTAGAGCTTCCTTGGTAATAGAAAGAAATACACAGAACTTAGTATATATTACTATTATTACTTTTGCAACCAAAATTGGGTAACTGCTACTTTATACTTGTTCCAATTCACATAACATGCCTTTAAAAAAATATTTAAAGGATAAGTTCACCTTTTGCAAAAATTACATGCTGCCCATATTCCCGCATCTACCTAGAGGGAGGACGGCTGAATGCTGTATGAGGTGATTTAATGCAGTTTGAAGTCCAGCCATCCTTCACCATCTCTCCTAACTGAAACTCCCTACCTCAGTGCGAGCGCTGCCTGGGAGAGAATGTGCAGAAGCCTGGGCTTTGCAGCTGTGATTGAGTGATCACACTTGCAATGCTTTCCAGGCCTGAATGCAAATATTAAAGAGATGCATATTTTTTTATATATTATTATTTATGCATTTCTTTAATTTTTGCAAAAGTTGAACTTATCCTTTAAAAAGTGCTGCTTAAATGTACTCTTTTCTGAAAACTCTAAAAATGAAGTATTTTTTTCCCCGGCTATATAATGTTAAAGAGGGGGTTAGGGAGTTAATGTTCACCATAATGAACCCTGTCTGTATTGTGTGGCAGGTCTCATTATCGGTTGTAAACTAGATTTGAATACTGTCTGTCCTAACAAAGGGTTAAGGAATTGGTCATTTCTTTTGAACTGTAGCAGATAGATTTTAGACTTTTTTTGCTGCATGTCTAGAGAAATGTTTGTCTGTCTGCAGGAATAGTTTTCTGATAAGTTGGATATTGTCTAAGTTGTGGTGATCATTTTTGTACCTGCCATGTTGCTGTTTGTATAGATAAAAAAATTCCCAATATCCATTTAACACAGCAACATATGCAACATATGCTGGTCTTAATTTGCTGTCATTTTGTCAGAAAATGTGATAAATGTCCAAATTTTTAACAATGTACACATTGTACCCTATATATATATATATATATATATATATATATAAGCAAATATTAATGCAGTTATGCATTAATTATACGGGGCGAATAGGGTAACCTAACTCTCCCTCATCTCCACCATTTCTTGGTTCTGCAACAATGTGTTCAGCCACTGGGACCAGGAAAACAAAATCCTTTTTAAACTCCAAACCAACTTGTCAGAGCATACACAGGGTTATACACTCCCTGCTCAATCCCATGTGATAGTGATGGGCCAATTATGAGTCCTCTGTCATTGTCACATGGGTGGGGCTGAGTATTTCAGTTTGCTCCAGCGGCCAAATGGAGCTGTGTGGTAGTAGGCAAAGGCTAGTATATTCTGCTTGGTGGGGATTTTAATTGTATTTTTATATAGAACTAGCATTTATATTTCTATTGGTCATACCATTAGCCCAGTAAAGCACCATTTAGACTGGGAGAGGGCATGGCAATAAGGTTCTGCTGCATTCACATGTGCTGACCGTGAGCAGGAGGAGAGAACAGAGAGCTGGCTGGGAATATGTACTTTACCAAGATGTACTGCTGCTGGCGTATGCTCATCTGGATGTAGAGTCTGGCAATGGTTGCTGCGTCACAAAAGTGGCTGCACAGAATTACAAAGCCTTAGGTAACTGTTCTGTTATATGTGTGGAGTCCAGCTTTAAGATTAAACAGGACAGTAATTGTAGTGCCTTTTAATTTGTCAAATTCAGAATATATAGTAGACTGTAATCTTCATGTTTATGAAATAACAGCCTTAATTA